TAATTATATAGCAAATTTTATTTATTAAAATTACAATTGTTAGCCAAAGTCAATGCATGAAGTTTATCGAAATGTAGCTGTAAATTCTCTTGAACGATATCGTGAAAATATGAAATCACAACTTAACAAGAAAAACAAAAAATTTATAAATAAATATAGAGTTGGTAATTTCGTCTACATCAAAATTCCTGAATATGATTGAATACACAGTGACTGTATGATGCTTCCATGCAAAATTCTTGAAATTTTAGAAAATGATATATATCGAATTGGGTGCAAATCAGGCATTCTTGAAGTTACATACAATGCAACAGAAATTCTTCCTTTAGGGCCTAAACAATTTCCCGAATTGGATAATATTCCATTAAAAGCTATAAGTGTGCGAGAAGCATCACATGCACAATCATTATCACAAATAGGTAATATAAAATGTAGTTGTAAGGGTCAGTGCAAAAAAAATCAATGCAAATGCAAAAAGGCAAGAGTTCCTTGTAGGAGTAGTTGTCATCCAAGTAATCATGCTTGTAAAAATCTAAATGTAATTAATAACTAATAGCATAACATTAAGAAGATAATGTAATTTGTATTTATGTGCTTTGCTTTGCAATAATATTACTAAAGCTTAATTTGCAGACTTTTTAATGAAAAGATTTATAAATTTTTTTATGCCATAATCACTTATAATTCTTATAATTTAACAATATAAACTAAATAGATTTAGAATTGACTTTAGGTAGATTTCAAATTAACTTTAAGTTGGTTCGAAATCAGTTAACCATCTGGGTGAATTTAAAATTTTATTTTAACATAAGTATATTTAGAATCAATATAAGTGGATTCCAAATTTAGAGAGATTCGATTTTGATATACAACATATATATTAAAATTATGATTAGATACAAGATAGGTAAAGGTAAATAATTAAAGTTCATATTATAACTATTTGTTAATTTGGAAGATATTTTAATTAATGTTAAAGATATCAGAATATTGAGTAAGGTTTTTAATAAGTTTAATAATATAACTTAGTTTTTTAAGAGATAAATATAATAGAATATTGTAAGATAAGTATTAGTAATTATAGCTATATTTGCAAAAGATTTTATTAGAAATAGTATAAATAGCAAAATAGATAATAGAGCATTAAATTTTATGCCAAGTTGTTTTAAAACTTTTATAAATTTCAGTCTTTTGTAGACATGGCTTTGTAATTAAAAATATGCCAATTAATATCAGTATGCTTATATAAGAGTTTGCTATAAGCATGTAAAAATATTTAAGTAAAAGAAAGAATTAAGTAATTACTGAAAATAGAAGTTTAACTGTTATCAAGATTGTAAGAAAAAAAAATTCTATATTAAATTAGTTAGTTCAGATGTAGTCAGGAGTGTGGCAACTTAGTGAAGTGGATAAGTTGTCAACCTCCCAAGTAGTAGGTTGTGAGTTCAAGACCCAATGATGGTAAAACTTTAAATAATCATCTATGTAATACATAGATGTTATTATGGTGATGGCATTCTGTTGATCAGTTGAGATAGG